TTTGATATGTATGATTTGAAAATCTGTCGAAGATTTTTTCAAATTGTTAGTGTTTTCAAAACCATAAAAGTGTAAAACCGTAGAAAATATGACCTTTCAGTCCCATCATCGTGTGCATGGCACGATTGGTTTGAAAGTGGTTGCATTGCTTTCTTCATGGGCTTTTTTATTTATGTTATTTTACTATTTTTCTCTGAGCGTAAGGTTCCTTGAAACAAAGATACAATAAACAGTACACACACACATGCATACAAGCCCTTTATGTAAAGGGATTTCATTTTTTTTTTTTCAAAAAATGGAGATTAAGTGTGCGGTGCAACTTGAAAAATAAACAATTCGGATTGTTAAAGTTTGATGTAGTGTGAACCTCATAACTAATCCTCATTTTTATAAAAAGATAAGGATGTATCACTAATAATAGATAAGCATGTTAATCAATATTTAAATAATAATCTGATCATGAACATTCACATAATTTGATTTATAAATTTAGTTTAAAATTGTAGTTTCGCTAACATTATTCTAACTAAAATAACTGATAAACTACAATCGAAACCGTAGTTTTACACCAGACCTATGAAAATAAGTAGGGTCCAAATGCTCCTATTCTTCACTTTATATATTCTTCTCCATAAATATGATAATAATTCACCAAAAAGAAATGGGGTCATCCCTACTTGTCACTTTACCAGTTTACTTTACTTCAGGAGATCAACATCTGGCAGTTTGGTTTTATAATTAAGAATACCCTTCCAACCTTGTTTAAGAACTCTTGCCATGATTATAATATCAATATTATGCCACAAACAAGTCTAATAATTTAAACAAGTTGTGTGACCCCTCAAGTTTTTTTCACTATTTGTTTGAACTTGAGATTTTTCCAGCAGAACATGCATGCTATACAGATAGTGCCACATATATGTCCAATTTTTCATCATTTTATGGGAATCTCATGGCCTGGTGAATTGTCAAGAGTAGGACCCTTGTTTTTAGATTCCTTATCAATGGCAATGCCGATCATTTTAAAAATAAAAAACAGAACAGCTGTGGGATTTTGATGCAAAAGAATAATCAGCAGTAAAAACTCTGTTCGTTCATTATATCGTTCACATTATTGTTTGCAAAACGTGGTGCACGGGGCTAGCTATTAGTAATTTAGTATATAGGTTGGGACTTATTTTATTTTATTTTTAACCAAATACAAAGTTGAGATTTAACTGGGATCGAAAATAATGTTTTAAAACTGGGAATCCTGTGAAATGTAACCAAAACAATTGACATGAAATTGATGTTTCATTCTATGTTTGATTCCTTTTCCTTTTATTTATATACAGTTAAATGACATGCAAAGTAATTAATAATTTTGAGATTCGGAGAGTTTGAGGAAAATATTTGAAATCTGCTGGATTTAGGGATAGAAACCAATGAAGCAATTGATATTCTTCTTAAAATGTCTAAACGTCTCTCACATGCGTGTAGAATTAATTAAAATCAATCAATATTAATCAAGTGAGAGCGTTGTTTATCGTATATATACTTCAATGGCCACATATAATATATATATATTAATTTTGTCTTCTGAAAGTTCTGATATTTACTTGTGCCACTTGACGCATAACATTTTGTGAATCGTGATTGATCCAATTTAGAACATCATATATGTATGATTCAGACTGAAAATAACCTGCAGCTTGCACTGAAGCAAGTTGGAACCAAAGCTCGGGACGAGCAAGATCCTTACTTTGCATCCATAATTTCTGCGGGTCAAAGAGTACGTATAAACCCTAGCATCCATAAGTCCTTAACTTGCAAGTCTTTGTTTTCTAAGAAGAATATCAATGTATGCCCCTGAGTCCCGACTACTTATGAGACAAGTCAACAGAGATTGAGACTTACGTGTAACAAAGTGCACATATATGATAATCTCGTCATGTAAGAAAAAAAGTGATAAACGCAATAAGACGTACACCCTGTTGAACCTAGGTTTCAGCCTATCATAGGATAAAAAGAACATAAAGTTGAAAATTACTATATACTTTGTAAAAGTAAATAATTCTTACTTAGTAGCTCCATTGCACCTTTAGTAAATATTCATTATTCTTACCTAGTAATTCCATTGCACTCTAATTATTCGGTCCAAAAATTTGCTATTCCTCTCAAAATTGATGTTTCTCACTCTTTCTTTTTCTATAGATTCAAACTATATTAAAGCAAAGTTAAATTGACACAGAAGACCTAGCTAGTATACTTTGTTAATTACCGAAACAAGAAATGACAATGCACCTGGTGATGTAAGATAAATAATTCTTCGGTCCCGATACCATCCCAGTTGTTCCTATGGAACAAGATACAGAGAACTTTTTCCTACCCTATCTCCCTGATTTTGTCAAGTTCACCCGGTCCCATTTATGCCACACCCCCCTTTCACATAACACTCATGACCCGACGATTAATAGGTGACCTCACACAAGACCTTCTCAACCCTAGAGGAGATTAAATTCACAAGACACAACACACAAAGATATACATGGATACGGTCCATGTGGATCCTTGATGACTCACAGATGTAACAAAAAGATTTATGTATTTATTAGCACCACAACAACAATTTTGGTTCTAGGGTCCCAGTGATTTTTGGAGTTTTGGAGGCAAAAGCAAGGAGAACACTTAGGCACGCATACTCGTCAATAGGTTGCTTAAACAGTAGAAAAAGACCACACACGTAGGGCCTGTACAAATTACAGGAAGAAATCATTTTCCAGTTGCTAATTATTTTCGTCTAACATGCATTCAACAGTCCGTACAACGTACTACATTTCAAAACTCAAAGGCTCAAAAGTCTCCCGGTGTTGCTTTCAAACCCTAGCTAATCAATCATTTACACATGGATTAGGAACCGCAGTCCAAAATAATTAAGCATTATGCAAGATATTTCCATAATATATTTTTTAGCAAACTCTATATATGGCTCGAACAATCTAGCTAGCTCGTATGCTTATATGTGTTTGTTATTCATTAATGGACATAAGTACGAAGCTTGTAAATTCACATTCATGAACGACTATCAATTATTAATCACACGTACGTGAATCATGTCTTAGTTGTTGACGAATGCATGTGAAGGCTCACATGGCAAGCTAATGTATGTAGACGCAGTCAAATCTTAGCCATCGATCTAAAATAGAAAGCCAATCATATAATTTGTCCTCAACACATTTTGTTCAACAAGGAGATAAGGAATTTCACTTCGGATAAGGCATTATTGCAGGATATCCAACTAAGGGCTGTCCTCGATTAAGCTACAAATTAAATTACGTACCGATTGTGATATGATCATATGTGTACAAACAGCATTAAATAATTTACCGAACCGATAGTGATATGATATATGTACATACAACATATATAATGGAGCATTCCAATGATCGAGTGGACCATAAGTTAAATGAATAATAAGTACGTACGATCGACAAACCTTCGTTTTTGTGCTTCTACTTTGCCCATTGCAAATGGATATGTTGGTCCTTAAACTGAAAACTTTTAGCAAACATTAATTATGCTAGATACTGAACTTGTCAAAGTACCACAACCTCAAAAGTTGAAGTTGATAATGTAATATATATTCTGAAAACACAGCAATTACTAAGATATTGGGATCGTGATGCAATAAATCAAATCAACATGAAATAAAAATAAACTTATCGGTAGGATACAGTAGACATGAATTTTGCTGATAACAAGGGAATCTTCTACTCTCTCCAAACTATATGTTCCTTCTATGAATAGGGTTTAGTACATAATATAACACATATTGAAAGAGCAGGGACAATCCAATATATGCTAATTAGGGTTCATCTGAAACCGCCTATTATAATTAATAAAGAGATGCACCAATCACTATCAAATCAAATTGTTGTCCTAGTCTCACCATAATTGGTTAATCAGAGTTAAAGACTTTATTATTCTGCCCATATTAGGCGATAGTATCACTGAAATATCAAGTCACTTAATTGACAAATTATTGATATTCACAATAGTTCTTACAAATAACATTTAAATACTTAACTACTAACAAATTACATTCAAAATCCAGTCACACAAAACCAAAACGATTCCATGAGAGGGTACATCAACATTATTTAGTACATAAGCTCCACAATGATAAGGTTATACAGATATGCGCATAAAGCCAGTAAATTAGATAAACGAAGCACCATCAACTGAAATAAAAACCTAAAAAGGACAAAAGTCGGTGTAGAATTGAACGCTCATAACCAATTGAGCTATAATATCTCCGTGTCACAAATGACTAACACAATTCTAGGAGAGGGTGCATCGACATATCGAAAATAAGGTATTCCTCTCGCGACAAAAACATAAAGCCAGCAGACCTGGTTAAACCAAATAACATCAATATAAAATGAACTTAAGTTACAAACTCACTGAATCGGGTTCAATTGTTCATAATTTATTTGTTAACAACTTAAGACTTGAAAGTGCTTTTAGAACGACATAAAGTACTTTTAGGGAAAATATTTCTTGATTCTAAAAGCACTTGAAGATGCACGAGTTATGTGCTTTTTGCAGGAATTGCAGGAAGCATTTCAAGTGTTTTTTATGATTCACTTCTATTTTACTAAAGACTGGTTCCAAAAAAAATTCATCAAAATTTTTTTTAATCATTTTAAAGATGCTTCTAAACAAGCCTTTATAGATTAAATTGAGAAATATAAAAGTACATTAACAAAGTCGAGGTTATTGGAGGGAATGCAATTAATCTCTGGGCTCATAGAAATGGGCCTCAAATTCGAAGCCCAGAAACACATTGTCGAACTTTGAATTATCCAAAACAATGGCTAGATTTAGATTTTGGGCCACATCTCATAAACGGCATTGAATAATAAAAGACGGGAAATCCTCTCTCAAGCCCAATCGAGGAATAAACAAAACGCAGCGTTTTACCGATCTGAACCGTTCGGAAGAGCGACGTCGTCACCTCGTTTAACCAAACGCCACTTGGACCACATTCGGAGCTTCGAGCAGCGGGTGACGTCACCCACGCAGCTCCGTCGCTCACTCGCTCAATTCCAAAACCCGAAAACCCAAAAAAGTTAAATCTCGATTTCATTCTCCGTCGGGAGAGAGAGGATATTGAGCACTCTCCTCATCTCTCTCTTGAAAATTTGATTCGAAATGGCTTCCTGCAATCGGTGAGATCGCAACCCACTTCTGTTTTTATCATCTTTGGTTGCTTCGCTTTTGATTTGGATCTTATGGGGTTGGTTTTCCGGACCTGCAGTTCGAAATTTCAGCTGGGTTTGCTTTTTTGTTGTTAAAGTTTAGATCTTTTCATTTAAATTCACAGACTTTTATCAATTGTTTGATTGTTTAATTGGGTTTTGGGGTATCACCGTATGAGTAGGTTAATAATTTTTGGCTGATTCTTGTGTATATTCTGCTTATTTGAACTCATGGGTGTAATGAGTAGATGCATCTGTGATTATCTTAATCCGAGAACATAAAAAGTGATTAGTTTAATCCCAAGTGCGGTAAAAAAGTCCTGTTTCCTGATAAATTTACTGTGTGGATTCTTCTTCAGGTCTGAGTTTTACTAATACCTCGGTCAATCTTCATCATGGTGCTTTGAGATGCTGTTACAGTAAATCTTAGTGATGATGTGTTAGTGAGGCAGTGGTTGTGGTGAAAATGTGGGATTTTGCATCCGGCTGCATAGCTGGAAGTGTTGGATTGAAAAGCGATCCTCTAAAGCCGACGCAAGCAGCTCTCGAATGTTCTGACGACGAGAGTTCTTCGGTTGTTGGCAGAGAGGAAGGACTAGAGTGCCCGATATGTTGGGAATCCTTCAACATTGTTGAGAATGTGCCCTACGTTTTATGGTGTGGCCATACCCTCTGTAAGAATTGCATTCTGGGACTGCAATGGGCGGTTGTGAAATTCCCCACTTTACCGATTCAGCTTCCGCTTTTTATCTCCTGCCCGTGGTGCAACCTACTGTCCTTCCGGCTCGTTTACAGGGGAAATCTCAGGTTCCCTCGCAAGAACTACTTTCTTCTCTGGATGGTTGAGAGCATGAATGGTGATAGGGGACCGCATTCTAATTCTACCTTCTCTGGTGATAATCAGTCAGTCTGGCCGGCAAATGGAAATGTCTCTGTGGGAACTCAAGCGAGCCACGGTACAGGTGCCCACAGGAGGGGGCAACATATTCGCCATATCGAGCAATCTGGGTCGAATCACAATCATGGCCCTGTCAATAATTACTTTGGTGTGGAGCGCTTGCATTCTTCAGTTCGGAATTCACTTGTTTTCTTCGTTCATTTGACAGCCAAGTTCCCGCTGGTTGTCATATTTCTTCTGATCATCTTATATGTAATACCTGCCTGTGCAGTCATGTTGGCTTTGTACATAGTCATCACCGTTGTGTTTGCTCTCCCGTCATTTCTTCTTCTGTACTTTGCATATCCTAGTTTGGATTGGCTTGTCAGGGAAATCCTCACCTGAGGTGCTATTGGCTTCTTTGTTCACAAGCACTATGAATACAACTTTGCTCCTACACAATGGTGGCGCCTTCTGCCCGTACTTCCAGCATGCAATTCGACGACTTACCAGGTTCCAAAGATGCAATGTTATTGACTGAATCATTTCAGCTCTCATAGATATTGGCTCGAGCATGTTAGTTTCTCAAATTTTTGTTCACGAAGATAACGACTTTGTGCTTATTGCAATGCTCTTGCTAGAATACAGTTTAATTAGGGTTTTACAGGGTTCTTGTTTGTGTGAAGATTTGTGTTGAAATAAATATGTTTTGTAGTTCTTACTTTTGCTGCAAGATAGGTGTAGGTGTTTCGTCTGCGAGAAGTAGGTTTTGGATGAAATTGTTAAATATGGTTATGTATTCATCAAGAAATTACTGGTTGTACATATTTTTTGTAAGAGCTTACCAGCTCGAGTGATTAGTATATGCTTGTTTTTTTTTTTTTTTTTTTAATCAATTTTTGCGATATTGTGATTGTAGCTGTTGAGATTGTAGGACGATGACTTAATTTTGTTAAAATTTCAACGAAACCAACACGTTAGCGGCAATGTAGGTGATTTGCGCTCACATTTGTCACTCGTGCGCTAAATGTCATTATCCTCGAGTTACAACAATCAGTAAACTTTCGGGTTTAAAGTTGCAACAGTTAAACTACATTGACCAAATGAAAATCGTAATTTAACTAAGGAAAGAATTACCATCGATGAATTGATTCAAAACTTCTCGATTCTTCCTGCTTTTCTCCTCAAGAAGTTATTTATCAAGCATGCTTCGTTCCCTATCATCCACAATAAATCTACAAGTTCACAGAAAATCCACATCAGACAATCCGACTGGATCCTCCACGTGTCAAAAGCACAACCCGGTATTGCTACCTACAACTCTGCATTATGCAACACTCCTCTCTCAGTGGTTTGGCTGCTGAAGGCAAAGTACTAACATAAAGTTTCAGAAAAACAATGGCAGCCATTGCCGTTTCTTCACCGAAATCCACCATTTTTCAGAACCCAATTTCTCTCAGAGAACCAAGTTCGAGCCTTTTTGGCGGGTCCTTGAAGGGTTTTTGTTTCCAGCTAAAACCCAGGAGCAAGAGCAGAAGGGCCGTCAATTTGGTGGTCTCTGCCCCAAACTGCACCATCAGTGGCAGCAGAGGCGGTGGTGACCGGTTTTACACCAACTTCACTGGGTTTCCTTTTCCTCTGGGTCCTTTTCTCAATAGAAGCACTACTAGGACTGAGGTCAGCTCATTTTATTCTTTTGATTTATTAGTATATTTGTAGTTGTTTTCAGCTGATAATTGCTTATAATTTGGTAGTTTTTGGCTTGTGGCATGTCATGCTTCCATCTTTGTGTTCAATGAGTTCCCGATCTTCCCGTTGTTCTCGATTTTGATGTGTTTTTATCACTCTTCAGCAGAAGCATGTTTTTATTATACGGAGTGATTGTTGTTTGACACGCCCCGATCCCTGTGTCATCCAGACACGAGGAAAGACACGTGCTGGCCAACACTCGAGGGTGATGAAAACCATCGTAACATGCATGTTTGCATGTTCTTAGCATATGCATGTTAGGATTACTTTCGTCATCCTTGGGTGTCGGCCAGCACATGTCCATCCTCGTGTTCGGATGACACGGGATCGGGGCGTGTCAATGTTATTGTGAATTGTAGCTTTTGCAATATGTTTTACTCTCTTTTTCGCGTGTTCGTAGGCTGTGAAAAGCTGCATATGGTTATTTGAACAAGGGCAAGCATTAGGGTTCAGCACTGTGTCAACAAACATTAAAATGACAGTCATCAAACTAAAATCCCGAGGATTGTAAGTCCATGCGCCCGTTGCTCCAACCAAGGAGTGTATTCAGGCTATATCTTGCTTACGATTCTAGTCAGTTTTAAATTTTTCCTGCTGAATCTTCTTCTTTTTTACTTCTCTGTGTATTTGTTTAATTCTGCATATCCGTTTGTTAACCAACTATGCTTTTCTTATGAGTGTTCTTGTTTCTTTCCAGCTTCTGAAAGAGTTAGGAGCTCCCGTAGAATACATAGTTCTGCCTACATTTGCTTATGAGCACAAAATTTTCACTCAAGCTCAGGTACGGGTGGCACCAAGGCAATATAGTTGGCCTTTGAACCTGCCGCTGGAGTTTATCGGGATCTTTCGTGCCAAGACCTTAAAAGATGAGGACTTCTCCACCTCAAGGGAGTTCTCAGTTCACCAGAAGTTGGTAATACAAAGGGCAAATGTGACATCCGAGACTTCACTTTTTAAAGATATTGGGAAAACTCATTTTGTTGTGAATTTTCAGTTATTGGACTATATGTGGAGGTCGCTTTCTATCATAAGCGTTCCAGAACTCTACTGATAAACAGATGCTGTAATTTTTGTGCCAAGACAGCCGACTGATTGTATCAGCAAAGAATCCTTGTTGGCATCTGCGATGAATGGTTTGGCGGTAAAACTTCTCAGTAAAGGAAAAGAAGTATCTCAAGAACCAGTAGTTGATAACAAATTGAACTGTCAAAAGGTAGAATCTCCATTCCGCATTCCAGTCCGAAATTCCAGTCTGGCTTCAGTTTTAGTAAAGTGATAATCCAATTTGAGGGTGATCATGTATGTTTTTCTGAAATGAATTCTTTTGTGTAGGAAGGGAAAGAATTGTTCTCCAAATCTTGTTTCTCGGTCCATCAAATCTGTTGGAACCGAATGCTCGCTTTGCTCAGATGTCACAAAAGCTGATTGTCTCACCCATTGTAAAGACCCTCGTCTTCAGCAAAGTTCCTGAAAAGGTACTTGAACCATTCCGATGCAAATTTTGATTCGTCTTTTGGTACGCAAACTAATTAGTGAACTCACAGCATGCCTAACAAAGACACAAACGCATGATCATATGATATTTTGACTTCCTTGTTGGCATGTGTATGTGTGTGAAATAATCAAACAATCCCTTTGCATTTTGATAATTCAGGTCAGGGATTGGGTTGATGGAATCGCACGGGACTGGAGGTTCAGGAGAATAATCCCTGCTCATTTTGCTGCACCAATCAATGCAAGCAGGTCTGATCTGTTAGCTGCATTTGCCTTTCTGGATGACCTTCTGGATGAACGTTATGTCACTTGGCTTTCACTCTCTCTTCTCTTCACATCACTCTTGGGAAAGGCCGCAAGCTACTTCCCTCCTGATGACAGGAAGCCTTTATCATCCCTCGGTCAGTTTTTGGTCTCGGTAGGAGCTGTGAGAATGACCGTCTCGGGGAGCAAACCATGACATAACATGATTTGCAAGATGCGATTTTCAGGTTGAGATTTCACCTGTTGAATTTACTTACACATGTATGCTTAGGGTACAAAGGTTCTTTGGCCAAAAGAAAAGGCAAACTATTTAACATCCTAAAGTTGTACAAAAGCAAAAGGTGCAATACAAAGCTTCTAAGTGTGTTGTACTTGGAAAATAACAATCTTCCCTGTAAGCCTGCCTCTTTTGGTATTCAATGGCCGTGGAAACTAAGCAAGAATAAAGCTAGCTGTTGGAATCCCCTCATCATGTCTTTCTGTAATAAATTTATCCGCCACGCTGGTATTATTAGTTCGCTTGTTTAAATATGGGTGAACGATATAATTGATATGGCATGGTCTCAGAGTATATTTTTAATAAACAGATCCACATGATATAACATGAGTCGATTGGAAATACTACATGGCAATGTGTCTGTCACACCGAAAAAACTTCTCGAAAGAAAATAAATAGAAGAAACTGTAGCAATGATCCTTCAACTTTAACGCAATTAGAGCAATGATCCCTCATCTAAAAATCCATGACTAGTGGTCCCTCAACTCATCAAAACGTGTAGCTATAGTCTTTTTCACCAACTCCATTAAAATTTCCGTCAAAATAAGTCACGTGTCATGCATATGAGGCTAGATCAAAAGGCAAACATGGAAAACCAAATGAAAAAATTGTAGCAATGATCCTGCAACTTTAACACAATTTGAGCAATAACCTCTTTACTTTAACTCAATTGGAGCAATGGTCTCTCAACTCTAACCCAATTGTAGCAATGGTCCTTCTAGCATAAGTCATTTTGATGGAATCCTGACAAAGTTGACGACAACGATCATAGCTGCACGTTTTAATGAGTTAAAAGACCAATAATTATGGATTTTTAGTTGAATGATCATTGCTCCAATTAGGTTAAAATTGAAGGACCATTGCTACAATTTTCTCAAATAAATAACCTAGAGAAAGGCATGTCCTTCACTTACTCTGCATTAATAGGCATCTATTTTTGCAATCCATTAGGAGGATGCTGAAATCTGAGCCTACTTTAGATACGAAATTTATTATCTTAATTTTCTCATCGACTACTTGTTAGAGATAGATGAATGGTAGGTGGGCATAGATGACTTGGTAATTTTGTCAATTGATTTAAGAAAATGAGTAGAGAAAGACCTACGAATATTTGAAAAGAGACTCTATAAAAAGACATGGAGTACTTTGAGTTAACAGAAAATTTAGCGTGAAATTAAATGCAATGGTAATTTATGATTCATGCAGCCAACGCCACTTAAAGAGCAAAATTTTGTTGTTGTCGTGGGGTTCAATAGGCAAAAACTTGAAGAAAAATAGGAGATTATATAGCCGACACTGCCCAGTGAGACAAAGCTTTACTGTTATCATGGGATTCAATAGGCAAAAACTTGAAGGAAAGTAGTAGATCATACAGCTAGATGTTCAATAGAAAATGGAAGTAATTTTCCTCTAATGGATGACTTAACAATTAATTAATATATCTGAAAGAGACTAATGAATTGTGATTATGACAGTGGAAAGGGATCCTCTCTGGATCCCTTCCTCCTAATCCACCAAATCAGGAAATCCGTGTCATTGAAAATTGATCCAATGACTACAAACAAAGGCCCCCTTTAAAAGTTATAATAACTTCAGCCATTGAATCAATTTTCAATAGTATGAATCCCCTAATTTGATGGATTAAGAGGAAAGGATCCGGAGAGGATCCCTTTCCTTAGACATTGATTGGCATAATAGAACAAATCTAGTTTGTCGTTGGAAGGTCAACTCCCCAACTAAACTCTTCCACCAATTGTATTTAGTTTTTGGAGGGAATGAGTATCTGGTGTTGATTGATCTAGGCGTAGGTTTCAACTTTCTCACTAATTTTGGAGAGATAAAATAAGCGCAAATCCGTACAATCTACAAACTTGATCAAAAGCGAAATTCAAGAAACAGTAAAGACTTATTTGAAAATGCTTTTAAATTGATTGAAAATAATTTTAGAACCAAAGCCTCAAGACCTCAATAGAAGTGGTTTTTTATGATTCACTTGTCATTTTACTAAGGATTGTTTAAAAAACATTTTCATTAAAAACGCTTTCAGCTATTTTAAAATCACTTCTAAACAACCCTAAACCCTCAATTGAAGGGCACAAAATTGTGATTTATATACAAGTTTTGTCTGTTTATAGTCTCTTCAGTTATATTTTTTTATTAAAACTTTATAACAAATAGTGAAAATTTTCCATTTGTGTGATTCATTTTTATTAGTTTAGAGAGTGGAAGAGAATCCAAGGTGACTTTTTCTAACATTATACACTCTTTTCTCTTTTTAGGCTTTATCTTTGCTCCAATATATGGCCACAACTTTTTCAAAGCATGCCTCCAACAATAGATGCAACCACTTTTTAGAAAATTTCCTCCTCCATGCTGTGATTAATGATTAAGGCGTATGACTTTCACCCCACACATCAACTACGGGAAGTGCCCACATGTGAACATCAACCTTTAACACACACTTCTTCTATATTGTGGGGAACATGAGAACAAAGTCGTTTCCGTGTAGGCTCATCATAAGAGTAATGCTTCGTATGCGAGTGCGTTAACCGTGAGCCATTGAAAAAGTGAATTTTATAATGGTTTACAATCTTATAGCTCACTAAAACGTGTTTTGCGTGTGCGTGATTGTGAATTGTTGTGGAGTGTATCTCTCAATGCTTTACATTGAAACTTATATTCACATGTGATGAGTTATGAATTTTATGATGACTAATTTTGACATTTCCGTACCTATACGAGGGGATGCAAATGGCAAACTCATCTCGTTCACGCCTTATCTCTTTTTATAGAGAAATTTTCAGTATGACAAGAACACAGATCAGTGCATCTTTTCTTTCTATGATCATTCGTATGTTGTCTGTTAAATTTATCACTCATAGCAATCATATGGTGGACACCTTATTGGGGTGAACAAAAAAAAATTTGAAAAAAATGGTGACATGATCTAAGTGTTGGTTTGATTAAAAATTAGTCACACCTATAGTTATTAAAGAGTCACATATAAAAGTAAAAGCACCTACCACCCTTTGTTCTGAACTTTGAGAATTAAGAACCGACCTTTTATTATTTAAGGGTAGAATTATAATAACAAATATTAAAAAATGATATCTCATAAAAATATTAATACTTTATATCATAAGAAATTTTATTTTCAATATACAAGGAGCCGAGTCCAAGGCCGAATGAGTGCACCACTAGACTATGTAAATATTGTGTTTTATATGTTGATTAAATATACATATGTATTGGCGCAGTTAATTATATTCTTATTCTGTTGGAATTATACTAGACACTCTAAATCGTCATTTTCTTCTTTTTCATGTAATTCTGCTATCAAACGCCCGCATATCAAAACAACGTAATTTAACCCAAAAAATTCAAAGAAAATATATGAGAAAAAAGTATGATAATGATCACACCAATAAACTAGATTATATTACAATAGCATTTATTTAATATAATAATTTCTCCGAGTATGACTAAGATGTATGAACATTCCAGAACTTTGATTTAATCGCACATAACTTGATAAAACAAAAGGAAATATGCAACTATCCTAAGAAAATATGCCGATAAATTATTATTTTAATCTTGGTTCCCTTGACATTTCCTCTCCTTGTGTCGTTTCCTGCCTTTCAAGGAGACCCCTTGATTTTCATGTAGAAATCTACAAAACTAAGTAGATGTGGTGGCAATGCATGTTGAATTGCTCTCTAGAATTTCTAGGTTTTAATTGAGAAGGTATGATATGGAATTGGTAGTTTCTGCCAACTATACGGAATTTTTTTCAATGTGTCAGTAACACAATTCAATCATCAAGTGTAATAACATAATTGGTTGAATTTTTTGTTCAAGTTTTCAAACTAATTGTATTATTACACATTGTGTTCGAGCTGTGTTCCCGACACTGAAATGTCCCTCCAACTATACATGCTAGTTGGTTAATGCAATAAACTTGTCTTTCGAGTTTAAATCTTCTCATTTGTAACTAAAATGATTTTAAATCTTCTCATTTGTAACTAAATGATTTTAAATTATCACTTGTATAGAAAAAAAATTGACGGAGTTTTAATAATAAAATTTGTGATTATCATGAAAGCAATTTCGATGTTCAAATAATTTATTTATTTACACTTTCTCATGATGAGTTGATTTGTATAATCCCACTAAAGGGATGAAGATGACAGTCATAAATTTGTTAATTGTATTTTAAGCATCATCTTTTCACATTATTAAATTGTTTCATTATTATATCTACATGATTAATCAATGTTGATATATCATTTACCACACGTCATAATAATCACCAATGTACACTAATCAACGGACGACTTTATAGGACCGTTTGCACACGGCGCGTTCTGAGTTTGATTCTTATTTATGATGAATTGATGGTAGTGAAAAAAATGCTGAAATGCTTTTATAAGTCTTGTCGGCTCTCAAAAGGGCAATATGAGGAGTAGTCCAACTTTTTATAAGCTCATGCAAGGTCATTCCTCCCATCAATGTGGGACTCACTCTCAATACGCCCCCTCACGTGTGGCGAATTTTCAAGCCTAACACATGGACAACACAACTCAGGTGATGTGAAGCACATGTGGCCGTTAGGCTTCACACATGAGACAACCACTCTAATACCATGAAGAAATTTGAGGTTCCACCATAAAACCAACTGGCAATATGAGAAGTAGCTCAACCTCTTATAAGCCTATGTAAGACCCCTCCTCCCATCAATGTGGGACTCACTCTCAACATCTCAAAATGGTAGATTATTGTGATGAAACGCTAGGTGATATATATTTTTTAATTAAAAAAAAGGTATACAAGGCATATTCACTAAATACGCATGAACGAGGGAGAGCTACATTGGTGTGACACTTGCTCACATTTTAAAATTCATCAACTTTTAATTTTTGAATTTAAATTTTTACCAACAACTTCCTTTCATGGCTTTTACAAAATTCAATTAAAGTTATATGTTACGGTCGATTATTTAATAAAGATACAAGTTATGGGTAACTCTTTTATGTTCCTACGTAAACCTCACCATTCTTATTGGTAAGGTATCTTGATTCATTAATTGTTGAAAACAAAACATAAACAAAATCGGGTATCTTAGCAACGAAGTAAAGTCAATAGAACCAAAACATACATATACGGTAAGGTATCTTAAAAAATTCACTCCAAAATCCATTATTTTTCATATTTTTCACACCAAACAATCCCTATTTCTCCCATTAAGGCGATAAAAATCTAAACTTTGGCAAGAATTTCAAAGCTTCCACAAGCAACCATTATAAAAAGCAAACAGCTTCCTCCAAAAAATCACAATTCAATCTTCTCAGTTTGGATTTTGGAATTTTTGGATTTTAGAAGAACCCCCCCAAAATAGCATAAAGTTGGTGGGACCAAACCAAATTCCACACTAGTATTTCTCTCTCTTGTATTTTCCTTGGATTCTATAGCAAACGTGCAAGGCGCTGAGAAGAGAACCCCACCAAACCAAAACCAGAAGAAAACTGGAAACAGTTGCTTGCTTGCACGATCTCTGAAGCAAAATCCCTCCCACCCAAAAAGGAAAAGAGCAAAAAGCAGTGGCCTTTACTCTCCTCTCTCTCTCTCTCTCTCTCTCTCTCTCTCTCTCCTCTTTTTTCTTCCTCCTTGAGCAGGCCTCATTCATTCGTAACCTTTTCATTCGCTTTCTGGTTGAATAGCAGACTATCAAAAAGGTATGCTCTCTCTCTCTAGGGGCTCCTGAATCTGTGAGAACCCTATTTCGATAACTTTTTGGCACAAAATGCTAGATGGGTTTTATTCTTGACACAAATCATTAACTGGGTTCGATTAAATTTGTGATTTTGATTATGGGTTTTGTGTAATCGAAGCTTTCACTGAGCTTTCAGTTTCGGGTGTGTTTTTGTTTTCATAATCCTTTAGAGGTTTTCGGATTTTGAGATTTTCTTTCTGGGTTTTGTTCATTTGGCTTGCTTGGTGGTGAAGTTTGTGTTTTTTTTTTTTTCAATCTTTAACTGATAATATGATATGCCTTTCAATTTCTGGCTATGGTTTTGTAATTGGCTACTTGCATAAGGTTATGATCTTGTAGTGATCAATTATTGCTTATGTAGTTGGAGGTTTGAAGCTAATTTTCTGTTGCTTCATTTAGTTCTTCCCATTGATTGCAACCCAAAAGTTGCTGCTTTTTAGTTAATGTCATCTCCCCATCATAAAAGTTAAATGAATTACAGCCTTTTCTGGGATTTCTTCCTCATCCGAATCGTCATTTTTGGCATTGGAATTGGTTGTTAGGGATTGAATTGTTTGATAATTAGGATGTTAATTCAGATTCCAACCGATTTTAGTTACCGATTTGTTCTGTTAATCTGTTTCTTTTTTGGTTTCTCTACCATGATTATCTTGCTAGTACTTTCATTACGCAATAACAAGTGATTACATTGCCGTCCTTTGTATTGAATTGGATTAAGATGTCATAAGTAAGTTTTAAATTCAACAAAAATTGCGAAATCAACTTGAATATCTAATTTTATATTTATTGTGGGGTAGATTACTGTTTATTTCACTAATTATAGGTGCAGAATTTGGCCCTACAGATGTTCGTAATTTGATCTCAATGTTTTTAACTCTTACCAAACTGATTTAATGTATGAGTATTAGTGGCCGTGTAAATGTGTAACCTTTTATACCTTTCACCAGGTTGACACTAGTTAAAATTCTTCCTTCTTGAAGCTATCTGTAACTGCTAAGTGCATTAAGATGTTTACACAATCTGGTTATTGTGAATAGTCAGTCTTTGATCTGCAGTCCCATACATTTTGCACCGTTATAATTTTGTATTTTTGCTGGCTTTCAGGATTATCTGTTCTAAGATTTGTCTGAAATATCTCACTCCTTCTGATGGATGATTTGAGTATCAATTTACCAGTGACCTGTGAAACAACTAAACCAGAGGAGCGTAATCCAAGAAGGAATTCTACAGGGAAAATATTCTCATCAAACACTGGAGAAAAGATTCCTCATTATCTCAGAGCTTCCACTGGTTCCTGTCATGACAACTGTAAATATGGGAGGAAACATGAAGAGGAAGTGAAGGCGAAATGTCCTATAAAGTTTGCACCAAGAAGGCTTCAAACAAAATCACCTTGCAACCAAAGTCCAGAAGAGAGTATGGTTATTCCTGAGAGGAAGAATGTGTCTGTGGTCAAGATCAAACCCTCGCCTGATTTGAATACTCTTTTGCCTGATACCTGTAACATTACCAAGCAGCGAGTGTCAAAAAAATCCATTGACAGCCAAAGTTCTGTTGGGAGTGAGACTCTAGCCGAGAGTAAGAAGACATCATCAGCCAAGCCCAAATTGCCATCCTTTTCGAAACCCCATGTCAACGCTGCATCTAAAACCATGAAGCAGGAAGTTCCATCCTCTCTTGATTCCTGTTCAAAACCCCATGTCTCTGCTGTGCCTAAAGCCATGAAGCAGGAAGTTTCACCATCTCCTGATAAACTGGAAGTCTCTTCAAAGAAGGGTTCAATAGGACCTAAGGAAAAGAACTTGTTTGTAAAGCATGTCACTTCTTCGAAGCCCAAATCTTTGGCAGTGAAGGAGTTTCCATCTCCTGATATTTCAGGAGGTTTAACTGCTCTGAGAAACCGTGATTCATTGATAGTCCGAAGGACTGGGACCTCTTTCAAGATAAAATCTTCAGCTTTGAAGCAAGTGTCTTCTCCTGAATCTGCAGGAGGTTTTAAAGGCAAATCTAACAGTGATGGTAAGATAGGCAAGAGGGCTGGAGCTTCTGTAGTGACTTTGAAGAAAGTATTGCCGTCCCCAAGAACATCACTGTCCCCCAAACCTTCTCTCAGGGGAGTTGCAAGCTTAAAAGCACGGAAGAACAGGCCCGTGAACGTTGTGTCTCCTCTTAAGAACCAGAACAGGAAAGCTCAACCTAAGCAAGTCAATGACAAAGAGGTACAGGAGAAGACCTTGTATGTCATCAAGGTTGAAACTGAGAACAACAAACCTCTGGAATCTGATCAGAACAAAATTTGTGAAGTTGAACCATCGCCACCTTCAGTGTTGTCGACATCACCCAAGTCAGTATCTGTCCAAAACTCTGAGCCCTTTTCATCCCTTGAAGGCGAAGATGAAGGGTCAGGATATACAATGAGCGAAACAGAAGCTAGCTCTTTCTCAGAAGACAATGAAGTTGACCATATTGACAATTCAGAGATCCTAGGCAAGGATGGCAAAGGGAAACCCAGAAAGTCAGGGATGGTTTGCTCTGAAGACAAGGATGGCGAAACTTTAAAATTCAGGAGGGGAAAGATTGTCGACATACAATTTGAGAGTACTAATCCAAGGAGGCTCAAATTTAGGCGAGGAATAGTGTTGGGAGAGAACCAAAGTGTCAAAGCTGGTTCCTTCAGGCGAAGCTTTAAGAAGAGAGGTGTCGATGCTGATACAGTCAGTACCGAACCTGGTGCAGAAAAGGTTGTTTTGAGACATCAAGATGTTCAGGGAAAGAAAGATGAGAAGGGTTTGTTTAACAACGTGATCGAGGAGACAGCAAGTAAACTCGCTGAAACCAGGAAGAGTAAGGTCAAGGCCTTGGTTGGTGCTTTTGAAACAGTCATCTCACTACAAGAGCGCAAGCCTTCTGCAAATGCTGTCGCTTGAGTTGGGAAAAGAATAGTGGAGAATAAACCAGGGCTTGTAACGCGAGTTAAACAAGCTTATGGATGTGCAAAACTGTAAAGGTAGATTGCTTCAGTTGGTGTTAGACGGCCTTGATGCAGATTTGAATACGAGTCAAGCATGCCTAGAAACTTAACATACCTCATTTGGTTTTTGTGGAGAGTATGCATTTTCTTCCTTTTCTCTTGAGTTTCATACCAGATACATGTTTTGAGTCTTGACTGAATAAAACAGTTATAATCCTGCTGATTAGTTGTAGTATCGTTTTACTTTGTTCTTAATAAAGTTACTATTAACTGTAATTATGGTTTTTTACTTTGTTGGGTTTGTTAGACTGGTTTGGTTTAGATTTTCACTTCTTATTAACAACCACAACTCACACAAACGCATGAGCGACTAACTTTAACAAAATTCGAATGAATCCTACTTATGAGTTTGTTATAAGTATTTGAGAAGATCAAGCTAATAGTGTGTCAATGTTCGTGTACTCATAACGCTCTCCAGATTTTTCTCTTTGATTTTGGTTGATTTTAACCTGCCTAATCTTTTAAAATGTGTCAATTTGCCCCCAAGCCAATTAATCACATCTTCATTTAGTTTTTCCTACTTAAAAGACAATAACCTTCAAGTTGACGGTGTAAGAATATGCACTCAAAACCAAATTGAAAGTCTAATAAGATATCACAATAATGTACCAAATGATTTTCGCACTCAAATTTTTTCTTTAGGCATGACATTGCTTATTTTGATTGTCACTTAATTTGTTTAATATAAATGCCAAAAGATAAAAAGGGAGACGTTCTAAAGAGAATAAAAAGCATGCGAAAATTATTTAACTTTTAAAAACTATGACATAATAGTAATGTTTAAAATATCAGTATCGATGAAAATATCGATAGTGATATTTGTAGTTTTTCGATGAAAATGATGGAAATTTAAAATGAAACCTTAGAAATGTCGTACAATGATTTTGACGAAATATAAGAGTTTCTCCGATATTTAACCGATATATTAGAAATAACAACGAAATCTGTTAGTTTTAGTTGAAATATAAGAGTTTATCCGATATAGGGTGAAGTTAGACTTCACCTTTTTTTCCATATCTTTCTTTGATTTTTGGATATTTTCACGAAAATAATAACTGTATCAAAAAAATTTAAACGCTGCAGAATATTAAAGCAACAGAAATATCTATACTAATATATAATGCCAGCAGCCCATTTGGGGTTACGGGTTTCACCAAAAATAATGGGACAAAAATACCCCCCTCCCCCCAAAACCAAAAAGTTCAGTCCAAAATAATGCAGGGGTAATTTGGTAATTTTGTCATAAAAAGATTTTTTTTATTCTTTTATAATTAATATTTCACTATTATGTGGAATATCCACGGGTTTCTTGTAGCATTGTCTAATATTATTCATTTAGTTCAACTGTACAACTCTTTAAATTTATAAGAGCTATGAGTTATTATGTAAAATTGCAATTGTTGTATCAAATCATCATACAATCAGTTATTTATTAAATATTATTATTTTTTATTTTTAAACATATTTAAAACATCTTAAGAAGTGAATAACATTGGTGATAAAAAAAAATAATGAAATAAAAAAATATTAAAATAATTTATGCATATAAATATATTTAAAATGTATAAATAACGCATAACGCCTTATAATTCAAAAAACACATTTTTGCATGCGCGACTGTTTGCATGAAAGTTAGTAAGTTCTTACAAAGAAGTTAAAGCCAAAGCTTTCATTTGTTTTCTTCGCCAGGAGGAAAATTGTGCTCGAAGAATGTTTCTTTGGCGCCTTTTGCGGGGTAATGTTAAACTATCCACGACAGGAAAACCGTAAAAACAATGGGCGCCGCTTGTCTTTTCACGACCGAATGCCAAATAAGACGCTGCGGTCCCCACTGCACAATCCACAAAAGCCGCCACCTCCGCCTCCAGTACGTGGCGCGACGTGGTTCGGTTGTCGCCACACATAAAGCACCGGGCCGGTCGCTGTAACATTTTCCCACAGCATATTGCAAATTCTTTGTTTTGGAAGCCAAAGACTTCGTCTTTGTAGTCTCTCTATGCCAGATACGATTTTCGGTGTGCTATCAGTGCTTCTGTCACTGTGTTTTTCTCTGGACGATTTTGCCCCTGAAGCAAACCCGAATTTTCCCACTGCAACCTTTGTTGCAGAATGTAAATTTCTGCTGGTTTTGATTTCTTCAATTTCTTTTATTTCTTCTGGTACTTGTGAAAACCCTAATTTGTGTTCGATTTTGCAGAGTTGGGATTTCTAGGGGTTTGGAGCCATGGCGGAAGGGGGTTTTGTCTGATGTACGGCGACTGATGAAGCTTCCTGTATCCAATTCATTTATGAGGTAACGGCTGAGATGAGAAATTGGGTCTCCATTTCGTTTTAATTACGATCTGGTCCACCCTGAGCTGCTTTCCCTGCGTTTCAGTGGGTTTTGATATGACCAAGGATTTTGCAAGCTCTTGGTTTTCCTTTCATTTTGGTTCTTTTGTGCCAAATTTGTAAATTCCGTACAAGATTAGTGTGGGTTTTATCTGGATTGAGTAGTTGCTTAAACTTATGTGAGATTTTGTTTAAAAGCTTTGATATTTATATGGTGGGACTTGCGGATCTGATGATTTGGAAACGAGTGACATGCATTCAGAATTCTTATTGCTAAGATTTTTGTTAGAACTTAAACTGGATAATTATTGATACTCCGAAACGCATGTAAATTTTGAGATTTAATGTTAAGATTGAACATGTGTTCCGCTATTTGGCTGATATCGATAGTTTGAGCATGCATATGTTATTTTTATAGCCTGATGAAATACATGGATTTGAGTCTTCAATCTCACTAGGTGGATAAAATGATTCTGTAGAGCAGTGAGACTTTAAATTGGACAGTGTTTGTTGCTGCGAAATACCTCTAGGTTCTCAGATTCTATAGTTCGAAGGTGTGCGTGTTATATTCATGGGCTCGTGAATCACAAGGATTTGAGATTGTTGTTTTTGTCAATCTTTCTAGGTAGACAAAATGATTATTACAAAGCAGTATCGTTGCATACACTCAGCAAGTTGTCAATGCACGAAAGGGCATTTAAGTGAAGATGTGATATTCCTTGTCTTCCAACAGTTGAATTGGAATCCTAAGTTGATTGCTACACTTTCCCTTGTCTGCAAATGGTTTGATGATCTTGCCAAGCGTGTGCTGTGGAAGGAATTTTGCCGAACAAGAGCACCAAAGATGATGCTTGATCTTCAATCTAGTGGGAGTCACAGTGTAGATGGGAACTGGAGGGCACTCGGGAAGCTGCTTATTTACTGTACAGGATCTAAGAAGGGTGGCCTCTTTAACAGCATTCATATTCCGGGTCACTTTGTTTATAGGACCAGGTTTTCTAGGACATCAGGGAAGAGCTTTCTTTTACCGCAATGCAGAACAGATGTTTTGTATGTCTCTGACCCCTGTGAACATCTTGACCAAGGTGAAGAGGGAGATGTGGGTTTTTTTCGCGGAGTTTTCAAGTCCTTCTCAATGTCCAAGGTTCGGACGATGTTGATTAAGAAGGGGGCCCAACTTCATCCAACAGAGGTGTGCCCATACTGCAAGGCTAAATTATGGAGCATGTTGCAAGCCAAAATGATACCGCAGAGTGCCAGCTGCAGATTGGGAGCTTATGAGGATTGTGTTGAGTATTTTGTTTGCCTCAACGGACATATGCTTGGGATCTGTACCCTGCTACCTTTATCTGATTCAGAAGAAGCATCTGAGGTGGAGTGATAGTTAAAACAAAAAAGAGGTACTCTTTTCCACCTAGAACTTCTACATTTTTGTTCTTGGAAATTGAGTTATTTCTATGGCGAAATTGAGAATTTCCTGTTGGATGACATGGACGCAGTACATATAATTTATGTTTTACAATAACAGCCATTTTCTGTTGGATATGGCAAACTTAGTGTTCCAATGTGCGAAAGCTGCGTGCCAATGCACCTTGTTCATTAAGAAAGAAAACAACGAGAGTATGCTTCGGTACTTGCTTTAGGATCGGCTCAATCGAACATTCTTTCCACACCAAGTGACTATTTGCCCTTTTTTTTTTGCTGGACTCGTGATAGATCTTTTCCTCTCCCTTGTGTTTTGGGCAGGTTTCCTGTTATTGCAAGCGTAGGTTGGGAAGGTCAGATGTATCGTCGGCTCTTAGTCGGCTTGTGTCTCTGGAAGCGGAACTCAACCATTCGATCCCATTGAAGTGTTGAAGCTCAGTCTCTGCCCGGACCTGTGGTCTACTGTGGAAGTGGTTAGGCCGTTTCTTTTTCAATTGTCCTTTAAATCAAATGTAGTCACTGAACCACGTAACAGGATATGTACATTTATGCATATAGGTCTGGTTTGTGCAATAATATTACATATTTGTTCGTGACTTCAATAATTATCGAGTCAGCTTAGAATTTTCTCGTCGCGTGATTTCCAGATGTTTGAGTTGCGTAAAGTGCAGTTCAAAGATTTAAATTACGCATCACAGCGAGGACGGAAAATGATTAAAACTCTTTCCTGTATTCGATCTGAGGTACATCGGGATTAAAAGTCGGATTATGCAACGTCCTTAAGAGAAGATTAGCAATGTAAGGATACACGATCAATCTCGTGTTCCAGTTTCATGTTGCTTACATACCAGAATCAGATTACGTAAAATCAAAGCGACATAGTACGTTATATACATCAGATTGTATTCCGCTCATTCCTCCGCTTCGAAGTCCAACCCCGAAATTGTCATCCTACCGATGTTGCTGCAAAATTGAAGTCTCCAGTGAGGGCATGTACAAGGCATATAGAACTGAGAAACTTTAGACAAACAAGCAACTTTTAAGAATAACCGGCATATGACCATACAGAAGTAACCCTGAAAACCTAGAGCAAAGGGTTGCAGAAACTCGATAGTAGACAGTACTCTAAACAAGTTCATCTCTGGAACGTGTTCCGAAAGATCCTTTACAAAGAAATAGATGCCAACTTGTATTCTGAGAAGCACATTCAACCAAAGTTTCTCTAAACAGATGCAGTGATGACGCTCGACGAAACAGTAGTCTGATTAACTAAGGTTCTTTGCAAGTGAAGTTTAGGAGAAATATAGGGAATAAAAGCCTTACACAACGGCATCTAGGCCGGCTAATTTGGGCAGAAATTTCCTGATATGATCTTCCGCTGCTGCATCGGACTTCAGCGTCTCACAGTTAAAGGAAACCAAAACCTTGTTCTTTCCATGCTGGTCTTCAACTAGATCCACAACATCCTCCTCCCAACTGCCCACCAATGAACGCAAACAAGGGGAAAAATATGTCATCTCCGCGCAATGATCAATCCCGAAGGAGTAATTCATAAACGAAAACAGAAATTCACAAAAATGAAAAGAAAAAAACGACTCAATTGTATCAAACTCTCAAGCGCAAAAACATAAAAACTAAAAATGAAATAGTTATCAAACGGGTTTGTTCATCCAAAAGCTTGTGAAAAAATCAGCAAGAAAATATAAAAAGGATTTACCCATGAGCATGATCAATGCTCTGCAACCGGGCAGCATCATGGCCTCTGCACTCCACAACTACAACTTTTTCTTTCTTCCTCTGTAAATATCCACACACAAAAAAAAAAAAAAAAAAAAAAAAAAAACCATCTGATGAAAAAATATGAAAAGGGTAAATTTTACAGAGTGAAAGAAAAATGTAAATCCATCGTACATTGAAATCTATGATTGCAAGCTTGATCAGACGGTAATCCTCGCCCCTGCTGCACTCCTTTTCACATGCCAACTCTGGCCAACGCGGTAAAGAAAACTTCGTCAGCATCAAGCATCGAAATTTACAGTGAATCAACAGATGAAGGAGTTACCGGTTCCCTGAAGGCCGAAGCAGACGTTAACGGAGTCCTGGCGGCGGATGAAGTGGCCGGAGAGGGACCCACATGGTAAAAGTGCTATTGAGGCCACTCCTTCCATCGCCTCCCCAAAGTTCCCTCCTTTTAATTCCTCCACCACTTCCTCGCCCCTTTCGTCTGCCACCAAAAAAAGAAAATTTAACAAAAATTAATAACAAATAAATTTTAAAAAATGGGAATTTACCCATTTGTTCTTCGAGCTCGGTTGACGGATTACCCATTTCAATTTGTCTCCTCCGCCTTGGGCTTCTCAGATGTCAAATTTCTGCACTTTCTCGAGAGTGTTAAGTGCCGGCGCGGTACCACTGAACTACCGATCTGCAATTTTGCACTCAAATATCAAACCACGGTTCGACTGTTTTTTAATCCAACGGTCCAGATTACATTGGATTTTTCGAACGGCTCGGATGACTTGCATCTCATCGAAACCTTGCGGAGAAGGTTCTTTTTGCAGCGTATTACGTCAGGCGGATGCTCACGTGATTAGTCAAGGAAGCTCACGTGTCTGGTTAATCAAATGGTAATCTGTCGCTCAAAAGACACCGCACAAACGTGTTTGATCGAAGTTTATGCGTCACACCACAAATGAAAGAAATTTGTAGCTCAAATGCTTACAAACACAAACAGTGGTGTAATCAAAATTTTCAAATAAGGGGCTCATAAAGCTTCATAGGTCATTTCGTCGCACATTTAGTAAGCATCTGTCAATTCCTATCAACATATGTAGAAAGTTTATGCCAACATACGTTGACAACTACTGTTGTTGTAGAAGCTTGTCCATGATGGATGCAGGATACAGTGAAGTAACGTTGAAGGCTGCTAAGGATTTTCAACTACAGTATTTCAAACAAGAAGAGAGAAAAGGAAGACAAATATGATAGAAGAAAATATAACAAGCAGGAGAAGCATATTGTAATTAAGTGTGTCATAGCCGTTTATAGGGGTCAAACACAATATACAAACAAATATACATGGGATTTTTGAAGTTGTTAGGATCAAAGACAACTAATGATCCCATGCTGACTCCATCACTGCTTACGAATATTTACTTTTACTTACAAAATAGTATTTACTTACACTTAATATGCGACCACAACAACATCCACGTCAAATGTGACAAAGTTAAAATCAACACCGTGGAAACACCATTCTCCTAAACACGAGATCGTGCGTTGAACTCTCGTTTTAACCTTCTGCACTCTTCGTTATCCCTCGGTGAAAAACGGCATCAAGAAGTCGAAAGGAAAATGCAGAAAATAAAATTTTGAGCAATATAAGGCTTCACAGTTCTGAAATGTCAGAAAATCGGAGAAAATAGGATGTCGGAAAATCGGGGAAACATACTAATATGAACACGAAGATTAATGCATATTTAGAAGTTTATAATCTTCGACAAAATAACATGTCATATATAAGAGAAACATCCCGAGTATAATTTAAGAATTTCTGCCCAACTTTGTCATCGTCTATCGAGTCTCCGAGAAAGATTCTTGGTTCTCTGTAGCCGAAGATTCTGAGTCCGTTTCTATCGTCCTGAACACTAGCTTTTGCTGGGGGAGCTGGCCATTGGAAAATGCCGTGACCTCTGTGTCTATAAAAACAGTGTCTTCCTCCCTAAACTCTCCTCTCAATATGCCCTTGGCAAGCTCGTTTTCGACATACTGCTGTATCACCCGCTTCACTGGCCTAGCACCGTAGTTTGGATCATACCCAAGACTTCCGAGAAGCTGGATAGCTGCATCGCTCACCTTGATCTTCATCTTCCGGTCTGCAATTCTCTTTTGCACTCGGTCCAACTGCGATAAAAATGTAAAAGATGTGATCGAAAAATGATGCTATTATACCTATATATATGTCACAACGAAAGTTACTAAGCCAAAAGCGTTTGGAAATTACCTGTAACTTGACAATACGGCTTATCTGATCGCGGTCCAGGGGCTGGAAAACTATGTACTCGTCAACCCGGTTCATGAACTCAGGACGGAATATTGATCTTGCAGCCTCCATTACCCGCTGCTTTATAGTTTCATAAGCCAACTCCCTTGGAGTGCTGTCATCGTCTGCGTTTAGTATGTACTGTGAACCCACATTTGAGGTCATGATGATGACAGTGTTGGTGAAACTCACAGTGCGACCCTGCGAGTCAGTTATTCTCCCATCGTCTAAAATTTGAAGGAACACATTGAACACATCAGAATGTGCCTTCTCGATCTCATCGAACAAAATAACTGAATAGGGTCTCCGGCGAACCACCTCTGTCAGCTGTCCTCCCTCCTCATACCCCACATAACCAGGTGGAGCTCCTATCAATCTCGAAACAGCATGCTTTTCCATGTACTCACTCATATCGATTCTTACAAGTGCTTCTTCTGTGTTGAACATGTAGGAGGCAAGGGCCTTAGCTAGTTCTGTCTTCCCAACACCAGTGGGACCCATGAACATGAAACTAGCAATTGGGCGATGAGGATCCGAAAGACCTGCCCGAGAGCGCTGAATAGCTTCAGCGACTGATCTCACTGCAGGATCCTGACCCACAACACGTTTATGCAGCTCATCCTCCAAATGTAAGAGCTTCTCCCTCTCCGATTGTTGAAGCTTGGAAACAGGAATACCGGTCCACTTACTTACTATTTCAGCAATATCACTTCCAGTAACTTCCTCTCTCAGCATGGACTTCCCAGACCTCATATACTCATCAAGCTCTTTTTCTGCACCACCGAGTTGGCGCTGCAAAGAATTCAGACTCCCAGTACTTCAACTCAGCTGCACGGTTGAGATCATACTCTCGTTCGGCTTGCTGAATCTCAAGATTTACTCTGTCAATCTGTAACATTACACAGACTTGTTAGTCGTTACTTAATAGCCAAATTCTTTCAAATTATCTTCCCACTTTTTACTTACTAACCAGTTAATAACAATTATTTGACTTGGAAAATTGTATATTCTTCCCGCTGAATTACTAATATTTCAAGCTCGGACAAACAAAGAATAGTGTAGTAGTTATTTCAGATATTTTTTTTTTTTTTTCATTTCAGAATAAATAGTAACTGTCATACTAACTGATCTAAGAGAACAGTATTATAAAGAGAAACAGGACTTCAACAAATTTTAAAAACATGTGAATAGTACATACCTCTTCCTTGATTGACTGAATGCGAGTCATGACAGATTTTTCATGCTCCCACTGCTCAGCCAACTCGGATTGTTTTTCTTTTAAGAGAGATAACTCAGCCTCAAGGCGGTTCAATCTCTCTTTTGAAGCTTTGTCCGTATCATTTGTAAGGGACAATCTCTCCATTTCAAGTTTCAACACTGAACGATTGATCTCATCTAGGGCCGTGGGCTTTGATGTAATCTCCATTTTCAATTTAGCAGCAGCTTCATCAACCAAGTCAATAGCTGCAATCAAAGTGATTATTAGGATCCATGTAACATCTTACACAAGTGCATGGATAAAATTTCTAGTTCAAGCAGAGATGGTTCAATATGTTTACCGTATGGGCTGTAATAGTATTACCTTTGTCAGGTAAAAATCGCCCACTGATGTAGCGGTCTGAGAGAATTGCAGCTTCCACCAGTGCACCATCAGAAATTCGGACTCCATGATGCAACTCATATCTCTCACGCAGTCCCCGGAGTATTGAAATGGTATCTTCTACTGTAGGTTGATCAACATAAACTTGCTGGAACCGACGCTCCAATGCTGGATCTTTCTCAATATATTTGCGATACTCATCCAGTGTCGTTGCACCTATACACCGCAACTCTCCTCGACCAAGCATGGGTTTTAAGAGATTACCAGCATCCATTGCACCGTTTGTAGCACCTGAACATAACATACATCATCATCTCCCTAAAAGCCAAAACCATTATTTTTCAACCAACCAAACCCCTTGGATAGAACTGTTGTTAACGGATTTAATTCAGTTGACCAAACAAACCATTAACAAAGGACAACAGGAACGGAGGAAAAAAGATATTAAAAAGATTGATCATTAAATGCTTATACCACCACAGTATATGAAAATCATTTTAATTTAGTACGCTTAATACCTGCCCCAACAACTGTGTGGATCTCATCAATAAAAAGGATTATCTGGCCCTCTGATTCTGTTACTTCCCTGAGTACTGCCTTCAGCCTGTCCTCAAATTCTCCCCGATATTTTGCCCCAGCAATTAGCGATCCCATGTCAAGGGATATTAACTGTAAAGGAATAGGTCACGTAAATATCCAGATTTTGCAACCAACTTATCAGAACTGTGCTACTACATTACCCATAATCAATTTATCAAAAGCTGAGCATATGCACAAGGCGATGCGGAGGAAGCACATATTACTGGTAGGAGGCATCAGACTCAAGATAGAGCACACACCTTACGATTCATCAGAGCTTGTGGGACGTCCCCTTGCACGATTCTTTGAGCAAGCCTGTTGAAGAACTAGAGTTAGATTGATGTACACAATAGAGACCAAGTTGGTAAAAGGCCTCCAAACAAGGTCAACATAGATTACAGTTTGAGCAACCTGATGAATAACTTAGATTACATATAACATAAGATAACGCAGAACTGGCTAGCTTTTTACATGGGAAACCAACTAGGTACTCACATATACACAGGCAAACAACAAGCTACTCACCCTTCGGAAATTGCAGTTTTTCCAACACCTGGTTCACCAATCAGCACCGGATTGTTCTTTGTTCTTCTGGAGAGAATCTGGATGCACCTGCGAATTTCATCATCTCTTCCTATCACAGGGTCAAGCTTTCCTGCCTTTGCCATAGCTGTTAAATCTTTTCCGTACTTTTCAAGTGCTTCGTATTTCCCTTCAGGATCTGCAACATAATTGGAGTCAGATTTCCGTAGCACAGCATAACAAACAGAACACTGAAACCGCTATCAAACAATGGGAGAAGACTGGAACACAAAACATTACAAAATCCAGCTTTTGGTTTTCCCACTTTGTATCGTTGGATCAAGCAACATATACACACACAAATGCACAAACCATGTACAGTGGTAACAAAGATAAAGTACTGAAATGCACACAACCTTGGTCAATAACTGATTGACGTCCCCTTATGGATTCTATTGCAGATTTCAAACTTTCCTTGGTTAATTGAAAATCCCTAAATAATTGCTTCCCAAATCGTTGATCTTGGGCGAAACCAAGAACCAAATGCTCCACAGACACAAATGAATCCCCATACTCTTTCTTGTAATCCCTGGCTCGCTGAATCAAGGCTTCCAAATCACGTCCCAACACTGACCCCGAAGATTCACCAAGAACCTATTGTAATGAAACAGAGACAGACACAAGTTAATCAGCATTTCAGGGGAAAGACACCAATGTAGAGAATTTATGTAGTCATAGCAGTCAACTAAATACATGTTTTTAGTATCTCGTAGGCCCTCTGAAAACTAGGTCACAAACCTAACGGCCTTCAAAGTCATACAGATCAAAATCTAAGTTTGCACCTACTGTTCACATCTACCCTCAGTCATTAATCTACTCTTGTTTAAGACAATTAATTTACTCTCTTAACATCACAAAACTAACACACTATTACACATTCATAAATTTCAAGAGTGAAACAAGCAAAATGGCAAAGTCATAAACAAAAACTAAATCCATGTGATTAATCATTACAAAGACAACTCGAAAAATACCTTTGGTTGTCGTTGAATATACTTATCAGTGGCCTCAAGAAGCCGGGTATTGTCGACCCCAGCCTTGGAGAAAATCCGACGAGCAAGACCATTCTTCTGCTCCAAGAGTGCCTTCAACAAATGCTCAGTCTCCACTATCTGATGCTTGTTCTCTTTCGCCACTTCCGGCGAAGAAACAATCGCTTGCCACGCCATTTCTGTAAAATCCTGCTGTGTAATCTGTCACACCACCAATACCAAAACCCCGTCACATCCACAATTTCTACACAAAAAAAACAAAACCCCAACATTTTCTTAAGCTAAAACAACACAAACAATAAACCATACCCTTCCATTTCCAGTTGAAGCATCACAGCGCACGACGAAAGGCCTCGAATTCCGACCGAGTCGCCGCAACCCAGTTCGGAACGCACCGTTCGGAGTCGATTGCCTCGAAATTAAGGCCCGGAAGGAGTCCGGTTGGGAATTGAAGCTGAGGGAGTGGTGGGGGCGGGCAAAGACGGAAGCTTTACTGCAACATTTGGGAGAAACCGATTGGGGAAGATGAAGTAGACCGACCCCGGAAGCGAACGAGGCCGCCGACGCCATTGGAGGAGCTCGAAGAAAAGGTTGTAATTGTTGTGGGAGCGTTGTGGGAAGTGGGTATTGGATATGAAGAGGAGGAAAGCGAGGTTGCTTTGAAATGGTGGGAGGAAGGAAGAAGGAAGAAGGAGCTTTGCGTGGGAATTGCGAAAAGATGTGGACTCTGTGGAGAGCTTTTTCGCGGCTTCCTGTGAAACGAGTCGGAGATGAGCGAAGCGAACGAACGAAGCGATTAACGGACGAAGCTCGAATTTCGAAATTTATTTTTTATTAATTATACTCACCGAAAATGAATGAGGAGACATCCGGAATCGTCGAGAATTATTTGGTACTCTAGTCTCTATGGTGTTTGTGGTAAGCCTACTTGGCCACTTCTATGAATCATACACGTGGCGTTGTTGAAGGAGTTTTATGGTCCTCATTATCCCGTTTTATTGGCGAATATTATACAAAACGAAATCCTAAAACGGTCCGAATCTGTTCATCTCTCGAAAGGTTTGAATTTTAGAATTCGTCGACTCTAAGGAAAGAAAGGATATGAATTCCCTTTAAAAGAGAATTATGTAAAAAAATTCTATAAATCCAAAACACAAGCAGGTATATTGCATTATTTATAATATAAGTGGAGAAAATTTTTTTTTCCCGTGTAACCCTCCAATTGTTTTGTGATATTTCATATACCGACCTGTATTTGAATACACTGTAAAATTTCTTGGTACAACTTTTGTGGCACTCATGCATAGTGCACAATATTCAATGTCATATGACTCGCGTGAATATTTTTGCATTCACCATTTGATTTGTGGCTCTTCTTTTTAACTTTTTCAGGTGAAACATGTTGCACAATCCAAACCCTACATACAATTCCTCTTTTTTCATGGACATTTTGGGATATCGATCCAAACATGAAAACTTCGTATTTTTTTTGTAGGTTTTTTTTCTTTTCCCCTCGTACCAGAGATAAATATTTTTAACCATTTGCTTAAAAAAAAGTAGACCGAGAGAGTTTGGTCCGAAAAGTAGGGCGGTTAAGGTCTTCCTAGAGGCAAAGTGAAGGTAGGGTCTTAGGGTTACGATGTCAAAAATGAAGCTTCATAATCTTGAAAACAAATGGGGATAGGGTTACGATAAACATCAAAACGAAGCAATGTGAATAAATTTTCGAATCGAATGAAACCTAAAAATGAAGAACAGAGACATTTTCGAGCTTTACCATCCTCCTCCTTCACGGTTCGCCTGTCCTTATGATCTATACCTAAACTATAGCCCTTGCTCATGATCCAAGTTGTGAAGGCATAGCATTTTGTTGCACCACACAACGAAGTGCATAACGCCACACGGTGGCAACCCCCCTCAAGAGCTTTGGCGATTCCTTGTTAACAATATGATTTCCAAGATGGTACGGTTGAAAATTATACATGGTGAATGAAACAGATTCGATTGTAAAATGTGAATACAGATGCAGCACAAGAACTTTTTACATAAAAATCTTAGATATGATTATGAATGCGTGATGTAGCATAGTCCGACGGACTTAACAGAAAATAAAGTATGACATTTAACAACACGCCAGCATAATTCCAACGGAGTTGAATCTATCAGCAATTTTACCAACTTCATTGTGTTTTACCTATAGTAAAAGATGAAGAGAGAGAGATAATGTAAAGGTGGATTCGATAAGATATAGAAGAGGCACAAAAGAAAAGCGATGAAAGAGATAGCAGTATACGCATACACTTACCTAAAAATGATGTTATCGCCGCTATCTGAGATGCAAAAGTTATAATATAACACAAATGCACTTGTTCTGCTTCGGTTCATTCATCAGTTTTTTTTCTGTTACAGTTAAAAGGTACACATTAAATTTTAAATCATGTCGAAAGCATATAAGCGAAACAATCTCTTCTAGTCATGGCAGGTGGTTAAGACAACGCAGCACTTTTTCGGTGTTTTTCCTATTCAAAAGGTGGCTAATAACAAAAGTGCAGGCTTAACAAACATTAGTGAGAACGTTACACGCTTGCAAAGCTCAAAATAATCTATCAAATCTTGTCTTTTCCATTTCCGCCAGATACATTTTCGTAATCAAATATGGATAGGAGAAAACTGGGCACCATAGAAAAGTGATAATATCGTACAAAAGGGGAAATAAATGAATATTAATAGACGAAAAATTAAAGAAACTGCTTAGTTAGGAAAACAGATGACCCCCCACCCCACTTCTGGAAAGAAGCATGTGCTGTTCAAAACAGAAGAACCATGTTTATTTTTTCACTTCTAAGTTGTTGCCAAAAGGGGGGGGGGAAATGACAGAGATTATCTTCTTTGAGACATTGGCTAGAAGCAAAAGGAAAAATTCTTTATACACTATACACAAAACTTTGGTAATAGTTTTGTAAATCTCGTAAATATAGTCGTACCTTTCTCCTGTGAAGGTGGCTGAACAATGACATGCATAGTTGTAACTCCACCAGGGACGTCACATAATGGACTCCGGCACTCAGCAACTGTTCTGTTGTTCTCCAGTACTCTTCCTGCACTTATTAGCTTGACATCTTTAACAGTCCTTGGTCCATTATCCTTATCTGGTAAAAACAATCGTATTGTGGTTAAAGGTCAAATAAATTAATCAAGTTACAGAAGTTCATCATGCATGGGAAAAAAAATTACAAATTAGAGCAGTCTTATGATGGTAATTGAGAACGATTAAAGAGCATGACAAAAATGTGAGATTCGAAGATTTCATAGTGCCATTGCTTCATCTTCTAATACTCCTATGTTGTGCCCCATATTACAGTTAGCTTGTCTGTAATCGAAAATCATTTCAGCTTAATCACTTTAAGCACATTCGAAAAGGCTGCCTATAAAAGGAATGGTATATGACATCAATCGCTCGCCCATGTAACAATAGCAGCCCTCGAGTGCTTTTAATCATGCGCATATGAGCCATAAATGGAATTGAAATTTAAAACAACCTTGATTTCCCAACGATTAACTTGTCACCCTCAAATTCCCCAAAGAGGGTATGCTAATATTTGGTTACGAATCACTAAAAAAGCTTAAATCATGCAGTTATATTTGACTGAAATAACAAAAAAGCATGCTTATCGCCTATTATTCTTTTTCAAATGAAATAACAAGTTCACAGTATGTTCATAAGACTATCTCATAGTAAATTGTTCATCAGAGGCCGGTCCGGTTAAGGTATCACTTCACAGAAAATTCTAAGACAGAATAGAGTTATGAACTATGATCCAACATCAACCAATTCAAATTCCATCCCGCAACTGTTGCATACAACCTTTCTGAGTGCTGAAGACTGATTATTTTGCAATCAAACACCAAAACATCAAAGAACTAACTTTTCCTTTTGTTTTTAACAAAAAAAATAAAGAAGAACCAACCTTTAGGCCATTGAGCAAGAATGCTTTCCTTCAAGTTTACAACAGTGGTAGCAGCAGGAAAGCTTTTGGGGCCAATATCTGATCCATCGGTCAACCGAAACTTGATCTCCAATTGATCTTGCACCCCTGCCATCTCCAACGATTTCAAAACTTCAAAGGTTTTTTATTCTACTTCTTCAAATGGATTGAAAATCCCAGCAGTTTCTTGGGCTTTTCTGCAAGCAAGCATCACACCAGATTCTTAAATTGGTCAACAAGAAAATATACAAGGAAACTAAATAAACTACACAAATTGCAGCAATCTTCAAGTGGAAAGTAATTCAAAAAGCTTCCTATTTTACAGCATGGAAAATCATTAGCAGCTGTGGTTTAGCTGTCAGCATCCATCAATCCAGCTAAAAGCTTCAAATGGGTGCTGATTAAATCCAAAAAACTTTAAAAATTCTCAACTGGGTCGTCTCCAAAGTCCAAAAAACCCACAAAACACAGCAAAAAAGTAGAGAAAATGGAAGAACTTTGATGGGTTTTTGCTCACTCGGCTAAAAAAACTGATCAAATGGGTGCTGATTGAATCCCAAACAAATTAAAAAAAATCCCAATTGGGTCGTCTCCAAAGTCTTAAAAAAATCACAAACCAAAACAAAACAGTAGAAAAAATGGAAGAACTTTGATGGGTTTTTGCTTACTTGGCTGCAAAACTGATCCGGTTTCTTCTTATTTTTGCAGAGTCGATGAGTGGTGGTTCAGAACTACAAGCGGAAGAAGTGGAACGGGAGTTTATTGGATTTAACTAATAGAGAGGGAAGTCAGAGAGGAAGAAGAGATCAAATAAGAAGAAGTTCCCGGAGGCAAACGAGGGTGTTTCGGAGTTTTCAAAGTCTTCTAAGTCGTGGTCAATGACTCCATTACCTTGCTCCTTGAATTCTCCTATGGCCATGAAAATGGACACATTTTTCTCTCTTTTTAAAGTGTCACCCCTTGGCTTTTGCGAACTTCCGCTTCTTCCAATGTCTTTTTATTTCTTTTCCATTTTTCAAAAAAGAGAAAAAATCGGCTGGTGATGGTTTGGTCTCGTCAGTTCACATTTTGAGCTATCAAAAAGACTCATAAATGTATTTTAGCCTCCTTTAATTATTATCGTGTAGTTCATCAACGTCAGAAAATTAAACTCAGAACGTGTTGTGAGGATTCGGTCACAGTAACATCTTAAATATAAGAATATTTCTTTCATGTAGCCTTTGGTATTGTTCATGAATCATGAATCACAACCCAAATATAACGTTCTTTCACCCAACTCTCTTTTAAGTGCATTTTCACAAAGAAATCACATTTAATAAGGACACAATTCAAATGGATCGTAATTGATTTATATCGTAATAGAGAACAATCTTCCATTAATTACAAATTAGCATTAGAAGAATTTTTTATCCTGAAAATAATATACCAATAATATGAAAAAATTAAATTAAAAAATAGTAAGGTGCCGAGCAGAATGGATTGGTGGCCCAAAAATTAATGGGAGTGTAGTGGGGGTATGGTCGTTATCTCAAACTGTGCCGATGGAGTTATGATTTTGAAGTCATCTCTCATTCTATTTCCATGTCAACACGCGAGCTGATATGCCTGCTTGATGGCTGATGACTGAGGATGAGGTGATGGAGAACAAGACATTACTGTTCTTAACATTCACATTCCTCCTTTTGACAATTTGGCCGCCTTTGAACGTGCGTGAGTGATTTCTGACCATTGATAAAATGTTAGTTTCACATGAATCAAACACGCGCATGAATAATTTCTCTGCTGATAAAAGGTCAATGTACATTGTTCACGCACTTAGAGGTGGATGCACACTAAGACCTAGGTGGTCCCTGGAGCACTCAGAGTTTAGCAAATATAAGTGTGAAAGTCTTCCGAACACCCTCCGAATATTATGTACATGTTCATTGTATCTACCAAGTGGTTGCTGTAATACTTGCTCGACATATCTCGATAAGTTGTCTAGATAACACTCGATAAATTCTTTCAATATCATTTATCAAGTGTTCGCCGAAATGCCTTCAATGAATAAACTGAAATTTTTTGCGCGCTCCAGTATGTTACTATCTAAAAAACTTGGACATATAATCTTGAGACCACCCAAAATTCTAACCTTGGATCCGCCACTACACACATGTAAATGATTTCTAATCGTTGATAAGAGGTAAATTCCACATTTAGTGAAGGATCTGAATTTGAAGCTGCATGTGTCATGACTCATATATGCGTTTTTGTATATGGTTTTTGGGCAGGTGGGTAGTTAAACCATGACATGTATGTATGTCCAAGAAGTTTTCAGAATCTTCCATTTAAATTGTTAGGCTTTGGAATAATCCATTCATTATTTATACAATTAAAAACTGAGTGCCACTAATTCATCGTTAATCATGCACTTAAAAAACTAATTGAAAAAAAAAAGATTTGTATTTATATACGAAAACAAAATGCCAAAAGGGTCTAATCAAATGTGGGCCAAATTAATTAATTAGAAATGTACACATTCAATTAGGTCTTTGAATCAAATTCTTTATCTGATCATATTCACTTCTCAAATCTCAGCATCCTCACTTCATTGAGACTCCTTGTTATGCTAGGATTCGACTTTCCTATCAATCCGTCTCATACTAGGACTCAGCCGATCCTAAGCGAACGGCCCATAATAACTAGAAATTGCGATGATTCTAGAATCATACTGCCAGGCTGAGAACAATTCCTAACTCGGCCCACACCAATATTTTGGGCCTAAACAGTTACTTAATTTAATTTAATGTTGTTTCATGTTATTTAGTTTAATTTAATGTTGTTTAATGATTTAGGAAGTTATAGAAAAAAAAATTAAAAGCAAAAATTAAAATAAAAAAAAACTTTGACGTTAGCAACTAACCGTTGCATTCAAACTGTGGCCCTGCCCGAGGCTGAATGGCTGGGTTGGGCCAATCAGTTGGCTTTTGACTCTTTTATGTCCCGTAGAGCCCACGAGCTTTTGGCCCGGAGATCGGTTGGAGACGATTTTCGGAACTCTACAATTCCTTCCCAAAACTTTGACGCGTACTTACAATTCCGCCACACTTTCTTCCTCTCCGCGAAGACTGTTGTTTCACCGACGCCCATATCCAGCAGAAGAAAGTGCGGCCCAAAGCGCCTATAGAGCGCCCTTCGTCGTATTGTCTTCCTCCAGAGGCACAGCCAGGTTCCCCTTCTCCTTCTTTCTTCTTTTCGCAGATCAATCTTTCGTTGAATTAGGGTTTTTTTTTCACAGTTCGTTCTGGGATCGTATTTTTAGGGTTATGCATATTTGGCCTGCAAGCTGTTTGATTAAATGCCTCAAAAAAGCATCTGACGAATCAGTTTGGTTTTCTTTTTTTGGCTCTTTCGTCTGTTGAAGGTTCTGTTAGTTTAGTTTTTAATTGCTTTTTGTATAATTGTGGGTAATGTTGTGGCAATTTTTTACATGAATTTGATGCTGCGGAGATTTGGGGTTGATATGTATATACTAGGGCTGTTGTTTCCACTGCCATTGTTTATGAAATTTTCGGGGCTGTGACTTGTGAGTTTTCATGATCTTCAGAGTTGAAATATAGTTGCTTTTAGGACCCTTGAGGCTTACCGAAATTGTGGTCTCAGATTTCACTTCTTGACTAGTATTAAGCATTACTCCATATTAGTGTGTGGGGTTTTTCGAATCATTAATTCTCTTAGGAAACAGGTGAATGTAGACCGCTATTTTCCTTATTCAGGAGGAAATGCAGAGACTGGCTTTGTAAGTATGCATATTAATGCGACCTGAATTCAGTTGAACAAAGTGATACGGTCCGCCTTATTTTATCCGTGTTTTACTTCCTGAGTCTGAAACTAACACGGTTACAGATTAGGGAGTTTTAAATCCACTGGTTACACATTATGGAATAATAATTCTCCCAAAAGATTGTGATGGAAAGTTTAACTGTCAAGATTTGTTCTCTATTGTATTGTTGTCTTCAATACTTGCGTGTTATTACATGTCAAGTCTAATTATTGCACTTGTCATAGATATATTTGCGCAAGCTTTACTGTTTGTGCTTGTAACATTAGGCCTGGAAAATGTGAAAAGAAAGAAAAAGGTTAACAAGATATCAGATGGTTTGTTCTGTTTGAGATGTGTATAATTTTTTTTTCTTTGTCTCGGTTGCACTTATAGATTAACTTAAGTGGATGTCCTTATTTGCGTGGATAAGGTGTGTAATCCTTGTGATGGGTTTCTTTTCCATTCGTAACTTTGTGTTGATTTAAACCCCCCAAATGAGTTTAATGTTATCAGAACTTGAGGTTGAATATCTTCTATATGTAAATAAGATACCTTTCTCAAAGAGTCTTTTCAAACTCTGGGAAGACTGTGTAGTATGTATTCTCTATATTGGCAATAAACAGTTGAAGTAAACCTTGTCTGCTGGAAGGTGTATGAACTAAGACCCCACAACTTAGGCTTGCTTAGAGTTTCGGGAGATGGGATTTTCTTCAATATCCAAGGAAATCCATTGTATGTTTCATATATTATAATGCATCTGTCTGACCAATGAAGCTCTAACCATTAAAACCCAGCAACAGAATTCATATTTTACTTTTTGAATAGGCTTTATTTTCTTGAACTTGATCTTGAATTTCAAATTTCAATATTAGTTACGCATGCAGCATAATTTGTGAAAATTAAGAGATTCATTGAACCACAATGGTACAGTTGTACATTGGAACTTTAGTAAGTTTATAGTCATTTTCTTTGGTGTTTGATAATAATGTGTATGCACACCTGGCTGTTGAATTTCATCCAAGAATGGGGCTGAGGATCCTCAATTACTAGTATCCTACTGCAATTGTCGGTAGCATGCATGAGGTGAAGGGAATTACACCACTATAAAATATACTGTTTGTTTATCTTTCAAACAACTAAAAATTTTCGACTGATGAAATCACCGGCTGGCTGACCAACCCAGATATACATAGGATTTGAAACAATATAGGGGTAGTGTTCCACATTTGAAATTTCAAGAATGCGAGAATTGTTGGTTTCCTTTTCTATTTCTGACAGAAATCCTCTCTCAAAGTCAAGAGTTTGTTGCTGCAATGTTTTACAGTTATTGTCTCTCTTTCGATAGTCATTTTATTTAGGTTCTAATCAGGCACAATTGCTTTAATATTTCCAGCCTTCAAGGTATCTTATCAGGGAACCATTCCATTATGGACAATTTTAGTATTCAGATTAGCTCCAATCTGGTTAAAAAGCTTGCTGAGGATGCTGAGAAGTCAAAGAGGAAACCTAGAAGAACTAAAAAGGTACCAAGAGAGCCTCTGCATCCCCAAGCAAAGACAACACAGAAGCAGGGTTCTGATGACTCTAAAACACTCAAAGGACCTAGTGCCAAAGCATGGCCTCTTCAGTCTCCTCTATTCGTGCCTGTAACCCCTCCTCCTTCACAGTCACCCTATGCAGAGCTTGATGCCATCAGATCTGTTCTGCAAGAAAGCGAGAGGGTTGTGGAGCAGTTGCAGAAACAGGACGAGAAAATGCTGCAGGAAGTGACACAAAAAGCAAAGGAACTTCGTGATAAGGAGTTCAAGCTTCCATTCCAGAAGCCTATGCCCTGCTCAAATGAAAAGGATGCTTGCTTGTCTTGCTACAAGGAGCATGCCGGCAACCCTCTGAAATGTGCCGGCGTTGTAAAAACATTTGAAAATTGTGCTCGCCGAATTAGGCAGGAAGTGGGTACAGCAGAGAAGTAATGAAAGAGATTTTCAGGTCATGTACTCGAGGGGAAGCCGGTTTCCAAGATTTTTGGTAGTACAAAATAAACCAAACACTATTGATTGTCCTCGTTATTGGACTGTTTGCTGTGGTCTTATACTGTTGAAACTGCTGAGTCTTTAACCTTACATGCCGAAACTGCTTCAAAATTCTCGAGTCTGAGTGAAATGTTAA